ATTGGAAAGATGTGACTCTTTCTCCAATTAATGTGCAGCCCTGATACTGACTCAAACAGTATGAGAACTATCCTCAAAATTTTTAGTTGGCTGTCTTCTGCATCACAAAAAATCAAAGTGTCATCTGCATATTGCAGATGGGTGATTTCCAATCTAGTATTCACCTCTTTGACCACATTAAAACCCCTTATCCAATCATTCCTATGCGCTGTTTTAATCATACTGTTCAGGCCTTCCATGACTAGCAAAAATAAGAAAGGTGAGAGTGGATCACCTTGTCTCAAGCCTCTGCTTGCCGGAAAGAAACCTTCGGGGGAACCATTTATTAGTATTGAGAACTTGACAGTGCTAATGCAGAACCTTATCCATCTTATCCACTTCCTCCCAAAACCCACACTATGTAGAATTCCAAGCAAATACTCCTAGTTAACATGGTCATATGCCTTCTCTATGTCCAGTTTACACATTATGCCTGGGATTTTATCCTTCACTCTTGAGTCAAGACATTCATTTGCAATGAGAACAACATCAGTGATCTGTCTTCCTTTCAGAATGGCCATTAGTTGAGTGTCAATCAGCTTTGGCATCACCTTCTTTAGCCTTTCTGTAAGAATTTTGGAAATAAGTTTGTAGACACTTCCAATCAGACTGATTGGTCTAAAATCTCTCAATTCTTTGGCTCCATTCTTCTTTGGAACGAGTGCAATGTAAGTTGCATTAAGGCTCTTTTCAAAAACTTCCTGAGAATGGAAGTTCCGGATAGTAGCCATCACATCCCCCTTTAGAATCTCCCAACACTTCACAAAGAAGCCCATAGTATACCCATCTGGACCTGGTGCCTTGTCTATAGCACATGCCTTTAGCCCTTTCAGGACCTCATCTTCTTCAAAAGGTTTCTGTAAATCTTGTTGCTCCTCCCTGTTGATTACTGGACAGGGGTGCATGTTGTCAGCAGGTCTCCAATTTTCAGTCTCACAGTACAACTTCTTATAAAATAAAACCACCTCCCTCTTGATATCTGTTGCTTCTGTTAGTTCATCACCTTCCACCACCAATTTATCAATGTGATTGGTTCTTTTGTGAGCATTTGCAATCCTTTGAAAGAATTTAGTGTTCTTGTCCCCTTGCTTAATCCACAATGTCCTTGATCTTTGCCTCCAAGCTATCTCTTCCTTTTTAGCATAGTCTTCAAACTCTTTAGTTAAACTTGCCTTTTGAATTACTTCAACATCAGACAGAGGTCTGTCCTGTTGAATATTGTCAAAATCAGTAATTCTATTGAGCAACTCTTTTTTCTTCTTTTCCAGATTTCCATAAGTGTTTGAGCTCCACTCTTTTAATTTGGTCTTCAAAGCTTTCAACTTAGAAGCTAGAATATAGTCTGGCCTTCCTTCAAACTCAAAAGTTGTCCACCATTCTTTGACTCTTTCATTAAAGCCTTCAGTCTCCAGCCACCATCCTTCAAATTTGAAGTAGGATTTGGTATAGATCCAATAACCACTTGCGAGTGCGATTGGTGAGTGATCTGAACATACTCTTGGCATCAATTCCTGCTTTACATTGTTGAAATTTCCCCCCCATTCAGTAGAGTACATTATTCTGTCAATTCTGGAACCATATTCTGCATTGTTCCCCCCCGTCCATGTGTAATTACCTCCCTCAAGTTGAGGATCAATCAACTCCATATCCTCAATCATATCAGAAAATTCTGACATATAAATGGAGTTCCTTGAACAGTTCTTCTTCTCTGAAGCATACCTTACAATATTAAAGTCACCCCCTAGGATCCAGGGTCCAGAAAATAAACCCCTAACAGCCCCAATTTCCCACCAAACTTCTTGTCTTTCAAGATTGCAGTTAGGTGCATACACCCCTGTCATATGCCATTCAAAATCACAATTTCTTGATTTGAATCCACAAGTTAGAGTATAGGCACCAATTTCCACAACTTTCCCCTCCCAATGTTTACTGTCCCAAAGCATTAGTATCCCCCCTCTAGTGCCACTAGCCTCCAATTGGGCGTATTTAACTCCCCTGCTTCCCCATACCTGTCTAATTGCCTCCCCATTTTCACCTTCTAGCTTTGTTTCCTGCAAACATATGACATCTGCCTTCCATTCCTGAAAAACACTGTTGATAATTCTCCTCTTATCTCTGCAATTTAATCCCCTCACATTCCATGATATTATCTTCACATTCATCATGTATTTATAGCTTTTCCTTTCCCCCTGGTTCTCGAACCATTACTTTCAAAATTCATATCAATGGCCAGCCCCTTAAGTTCCTGCACACCCCTGGTTTTGATATGTTCCCCTACTGTGTTTGTTGGTTCCTTGGTTACGATGTGCCTCTTGTTGTCTATTTTCATGAAGAGTTCTAACGCTTCCTTTCTGCATCCATCAAAAATCACCCCACACTCCTTGCTCATCCTGATAACAGATGCTATGATAACAAAGCTAATTCAATAGAGAAAGTCAAATGGAACTGCTTGACTACTTTTTATTTTTGGTGTAAAGAGGAAGGGATAGAAGAAGCTGCACAAATTTTGGATTTTATAGGCACTTTGTAATCTATTAGCCTTTTTTGTTTTTTCTCTTGTTGGAAACCAATTTTTGGAGGTCTCCAACATATCCTTAATGCTGATGAATACAACACTATCTTTATCAAAAAAATAAATAAAAATTTGTCACTTATATTTGATAAAATTCTTCCCATTCTTTCAAGTAAGCAGAGCACAAAAAATAGCATGGTTGTTTGCCTTACTTTTTCTTGAAACAAGACAATGATACAATTGAGATTTACAATAACATACTATCTTGTACATGATGTTTGGTGCTGTCAAAGTGACTTTGGTTAAAATTTTCTTTGTGATTATATGATGGGCATCTTGTAGGTATATTTACGCTTATGTTTTTAGATAAGTGGTACGCTAAGTAAAATGATTGATGTCCTTTGGCAAATTAGTACATTTTTATGACTCATAAATTCAAAGTCATGCTTACTTATGCAATGCATTTCCAGAGCATTGACACTATCACGTGATGTTTTTGGTACAAGCCTAACTTTCCCAGAAGAATTATTACTTCTCCTACAGCCAATATATGTTAGTCAAGTTGATTTCTTAATCACCATGCCCTTTCAAAATAACATGCAACGAGAGTATACGCATTGTACAGGGAGTCTATATATTTATGTTTCCGCAACATATCGAAGATGGCTTATTGTCTGACTTGCTGATCCTGGGTAGCTATGTGTATACTGTTTCAGATTAGGCAATACCGGCACTTGGAGGATGGCTCGGTGAATGTTGTAACTCGTGGGCAGCAACGTTTTCGTTTGAGGCGCCGCTGGATGGATGTGGAGGGATCAGTAAGTGTACAACACGTATTATTATATTTATTTTTAAAAAGGTATCCTTAATTTTTTTATCTTCATAAATTCATGTTCCGTTGCATCTTTTTGTCTAGCCTTGTGGGGAGATACAGATCGTCAAAGAAGATTTGCCGTTAAGAACACCCAGAGAGGCTGTTGGAAGATTAACACCATTAAGTATCTTCCGATCTAGTGTACATAGTCAAATACCACCGATAAATCGCTCTCGAGCTGACCAATATGGCTTTGGGAATGAAAATGACTCGGATGCAATGTCAGAGGAAAGTTTTGAAAGTGAACTTTCACCCACAGAAAGGAGGTTGCACCAGTCTGCTCTTGTTTCTTGTGATATGCTTGATGAGTCGGCGAGCAGTGACGATGAGAATATTGACCAGCAGTTTCGTATCCAACCTGCGAGATCTCCTTTTGATAGTTTTAGAAGGTCATTCAGCACGGGGAAAAACCAAGAGGCTGATGGTGTGAGGCTTGCTTTAGGAAAAAGGTCTATGCCAACAGACAACACATGGAAAAAGTATTCTCTAAACCAGTTTCGTGAAGCTCCAAGGGCCTTTTTGCCCAGTTGGGTTTACCAGATGTACGATTCATACTCTCTTGCTCAAAGGGCAGCAGGTCAGGTGGTCTTCACTTTCTCCTTTTAGAAAATTATGGATGATGAATGTTCCAAATTTGGTCACACTAGTTTGGACTCTTTAGTAGCTGCAGTTATGACATTGAAATAATGGTGAAAATACCTTTCTTCCTTTTCTCCTCATAAAATCATTTTAGAGAAATTACATATGCTACAATTTGGGTATTTCGAATTGAAATTTAACTCATGCTACGTGTGGTTTATGCTATTCATGTGTTGTCTCCTCCATCTTGCCATAAGAGGGGCTTCTCTTTGCTTAACACTGAGCTATCAACTTGTCTTAGATGGAAATCGCCTGATTTCTTGACGACAATCATGGATAGACTAATCCATAAAAATGTGAACTATTTTCACTGTTAATCTCAGTACGTTTGTGGTCTCGAGCGCACTTTGATAATTTATTCTTCTGGTGTTTTCTCGGCTTTGATTCAAGGGGGTCATTTGAGTAAGAAGTTACATTATCCGTAGAATTGAGACGGTTATATTAATATTAAGTTGAAATTTTGCAGGTCGATGGAAACAGATAGTCAGGGCACCAAGCATGGACAGTTACATAGCGAAGCCAGATCTTCTTTCATTTCATATTGCAAGTAAGATGCCCGTGTCTGAATCAACAAGGCAAGAGCTTTTGGAGATTGATGGAATATCCTATAGATTGAGACGGGAGATTGAATTGCTTGAGAGTTTTGACTGTGTTCGGTGTAGAAGTTGTGAGGTAATGTAGAAAATGATGCTTACTGATTTTAAATAACTGAATATTGTGTCACTAGCTGTTCCATTTTTCCCTTCTCGAGGACACTAATTGCGATGTGGATAACGACACTAACGCTAATCTGCTGTTTTAAATAAGTTAAATATTGTGTCACTAATTGTTGTATTTCTCCCTTCTCATAGACTTTAATTGCCAAACGGAGCAATATGTTGGTGATGTCTAGTGAAGGCCCTCTCGGTGCTTACGTAAATCCACATGGTTATGTACATGAGATAATGACACTATTTAAAGCAAACGGGTTGGCTGTTATTGGAAATCCTGTTAAAGAATACAGCTGGTTTCCTGGGTAAGTTATTTTCACTTGGCTGATTTTTATGGTTAACTATGTCTTGTGTCAATCATTTCCATAATTTGATCTTATTTGACGAAATGCATGAGTAGTGGGATACTACTAATCACACTAAGGTGTCGGATGAGAGTACGTTGAAGAACTCACTGCTCGACATCAGTTGTGATAGAAGTGTGATTTATACTTGGAAACATTTCATCGTTTTAGCCTCTTTTTCACTCATCTGCAACATGAGAAGGTAGTCTGCTCTCCCTGCATTTAATGGAAATCGATGCAACTGGACATCGATAATAGAGTATAGTGATTTATTTTTCAATGGTGAATTGCAACCATGTCTACATGCTCTGGTTTCTGCTGCAATAAGATATGATCTCTCAATTGCTATATCACGAAATCTCGGTGTGAAGAGATTTGATAACTAAGAATGACGTTTGTTGTATGTAGGTATGCCTGGTCAATCGCTGAATGTGCCACTTGTGAAACTCAATTGGGATGGCTTTTTACTGCTACAAAGAAGAAACTTAAACCCAGATCATTTTGGGGGATTCGAAGTTCCCAAGTTGCTGACGATTCACGTTGAAGCTATGGTATTCGTCGACCTGGTTTGTAAATTTGAATGCTAACTTCTGTTTTAGAGCTTTTGTACTTCAATAATAGCTCTTTCCTAGCTAATCTGAGTTGTAATATTTCATTCTCTTTATTACATACTAGTAAAATTACCCGTGCTTCGCGCGAATTTAATATCACGGAATTTATAAAATAATACTTATAACATATCAGTCATTAAAACTAAAACATTATGTTATCTTACATACTAGATTACGTAGTAACAAACATTAATATTGTAAATGTAAATGAAAATTATTACATCTTATCATTTATTCTTAATAATATAAGCATAAATTAATGACTGTAAAAATACATATCAGGATCTGTAACATAAGTAATGTTATCAATGAGCCCTCAACAGGATCAAAGTACACAAATATTTAGTTGTGAAGAAGAAGAAGAGGTGGTTCAAAATTTCGTTGTTTTAAAATGAGAAGAAATCCTTCTATTTATAGATATCAAATGGTAGTGTGAACAAATGTTTATTGTGCCTTATCAAAAAAGTTACAACTATTTGGAAAAGTTGCAACCCTTGAAAAGGTCACAACTTTTCATAAAAGTCGCAACTTTTCATTAAAGTCACAATTTTTCATTAAAGTCACAACTTTTCATAAAAGGGGAAGGCTAGTTTTGAAAATAAATAAATTAAAAGAAAATTCTGATTTGTGGTGACGCTATGTAGGCGGGCCTAAGGTTCTCTTTTATATATATATATATATATATATATATGATATGATTTGAGCTTTGTCTGGGTTAAGATTTACATTGGCTTGCCGCTGGCATATCAGTTTTGAGAGTGTTAATGAGATAAAATTACAACAATATTTTTACTTGGAGAACATTTACGTTAGTTGCTTGGGGAAATGACTTATAAGTACTTCAGTCACAAATGTTATGGAGTATCATTGTTGTGGAAAGTGTGAGTAAAGAAAATCACACATGATTTTTTAGTAGAATCATGAGTTATGGATAATTCAAATCCGAAAACATGTGGTAACAACAAAGAGTTTACACAATCATGAGAAATTTGGCAACGCTCATACTTTAAGGTCTATGGAAATTGCCTCTCTACTACTCTACAATGACAGGGGTAAAGCTACGTACACTCTCCCATCCTCCAGATATAGTGCAAACCACAAGGCATCACCCCCCCCC